AAAATTAACATATATTTCATTTGTCAAATTAAATATCTTCATTTTTTGTCTAAAAAGTTTTTATCTTTTTATCTTTTTGAATATGATTCCCTTTTATTTTTTTAAGGTGAAAAAAATATTTTATGTAATTAAAAAAATTTGGCATTTTAAAAATATACTCCGTATTAAAGTGTAACTTTGTAAAAGATGTACGGAGTAAAATATGCATGAGGTATAAACAAAAAATACGACCAAAGTACAATTGAATAAAAAATATTAAACGCCAGTTAGTTTTCAATACTTCCTTTGTCCCTAAATGTTTGTCACACTTGTATTCCCGAAGTAAAATATCAATTTTTTTCAATTCATTTTATTTACATATTGGTATAAAATAAAAATAAAATTTGCATATTAAAAAATTACATGAAAAGTTATTCGAAATAAGAGGTGTCACGAATATTTTATTTTATCAAATAACCAATGAAAACATAGAAATAAACAAAAGTTCCCGCGACTGCTGAAAAAGCAAGCGTGGCAAATATTTTGGGACGAAGGGAGTATTTAGAACCCGATGACGACGTATGCGAACACAAAATTGAAATTGATTTTAGTCATTTTTCTTAAAAATTAAGCTTGGACACTAGCTTGAAACTAAAAACTCTAAAAGGAGAGAAGTCTGACACGCACTGGTAGCTACTCGCGCCGAAGAAGAAGAGAGAAGTCGTCTGGCGTGCGTGACATTAGAGAAGATAAAAGAAGTTTGTATTGCGTTGGTAGTTGTTGACCTCGAAGAAGAAGGGAAGACTATTGAAGGTGCATGTGTGACTGGAGGTCTCTGCCATTCTCTGTGTTTTTCTTAGATCGCAATGCTCTGTTTCTTTTCTCAATTGTGAGATTTTTTTTTATGATTTTCTTAAGGCCAACTGTTGAAGTATTCATTTCTCTTCCTCTATTTCCCCTTTTGGTTTTGCCTTTGATCGATTTATTTAGGGTTTAATTTTTATTAGTTTAGATATATAGTGAATAAATTTTGATCGTGTGACTAATGACGATAAGCAAAGAGAGTGAATAAATTTTAATCATGTGACGACTAATGAAGATAAGCAAAGATAGTGAACAAATTTTGATCATGTAAATATTAATTAAGAAGATAATTTTATGACGAAGGGAGTATTTGATAAAATAAAATTTTTTTGTCACATCTTTTTTTGTACTCCATCCGTTTTGAAAAATAGTTACACCCTAATTTTTTACGCATCCCACAAAATACGTATTTACAACCATTTAAAATGTTTAAAATATCCCAAAATAACTGCTACCTGCAATAAAGTAGAAATAAGATGTATTCATGGGGATTATAGGTGAGGTAGAGTTATGTTGTGGAATGCACAAAAAATTAGGTCGAACTATTTTTCTCAGCGAAAGGAATAAAATTTTTGACGTGATTTTAATATGAAGTGTGTAAGTTTTATTTTTTATTCATTTACATATTTTTAAACAAAACTTTTCTTTTTCAAAAAAAAAAAAGGATTATAATTTTTAAAATATAATCTAATTTGAGACAAAAAAGAATAGATAAAAATGTGAAAGAAAACCGAGAACTTGTACTTATAGCAAGGGTGTTTTGCTTAGTTGAGGGGCATCATGGTCGCCATTCGTCCCTTAAGCGGCGGAAAACGTTTTTTCTGCCAACTTTGTCTGTCCCCTTCGTATCTGACGTTTCTCGTTCCCCTCATTTACAATATTACTTCTTCCCTTTCCAATTTTACTTTCTTACTCGATCATTTCTTCACAAACAAATTGAAAATGAAGTTTTTGTTGAAATAAAGTAAAATGTAAATTTCACATTCTCCACCACGGTTCCATCCATGAAGAGAGTTAGATTGTACACACCTCACATTTTTTGTTTGTTTTTGTTTTTCTCACATTTTTTATTTATTTTAAATTTGTTTCTACTGTCTAAGATAGATTTAAAAAAAAAGATTATACGAGGGTGTAATAATATTAACCTATTGTGAATCAAAAAGAGACTACATAACCCCCAACGTGCATGCGGCGTTGAATTCAAGAAATTAAGCATAATCAAAGTGTTGGTGACGACGACATTAACGTAATACGGAGTAACAAACTAACGAAAAGGATGATGAGCTCCATCACCTCTTACCCCTTCTGACCTGACTGAATGATCACTGAGAGGACGTAAATTAGATTTTAATCACAGATTGGAAATAATAAACAGATTAACAATGTTGGGCACAACTCAACTAGTAGAAAAATAGATTTCAAAAGCGATAATTTTTCGTTGATTCCTGACAAATGCGCCAAAAGGCGACTATGTTAAACATATGACTTTTACAAGTATCGAGTGCAGATTCCACCCTTTGTCGCCCGGTCTATGATTATCACTCAATTCATTTCTCTTTTGATGAATGATTCTGATAAAGTCCTCAAAGGTTAGGCTCATCCTTAACAATGCACTATTCTGTCTTCTGGAAAAAATGTACCTTTTCTTTAATATTTGTGTTGAAATAAAATTCAAAATGAATGACTACATAGAAATCACTCTAAGTAGGACTAAAACATATAGAAAAGTACCAACATAAGACTTTCATGTTTTTTTTCTCGAAATAAGACTTTGCATTGTGGTAATGTGGCACTGTACATGTGCACATTACTATATTTTTTTGGTAATGTACATGATCATGTTTGGTAATATAAGTTCTATTTCGAGAATGAAAACATGGAAGTCTTATTTTGGTATATTTTCAATGTTTTAGTCCTATTTTAGTCTTTCTCCCATGACTACATTAGGCCTAGATTGAGACCATGTTCTCTTTACCTAATTTCTTCTACTAATTACTCCATACTCACTTTTGTCCGAAATATAATATTTGTTCAGTATTGACTTTTTGGAGTCAACAAAAATCGATATTTGACTTTAAGTTAAATAAAAATCATAATTATATTAACCTGATAAAATAATGTTTTAAAAATATCATTTAGAATAAATCTAAAAAAATATTTTTGTATCAATATCTAATATCAAATTTACTTAATTGATGATCAAAATTTGCTAAATTTACTTACATGCCATGAAAACGAATGACATCACTTAAACTTGGAGGAAGTTATTAGAGGAGTAAAATAAGAAGCCGGAAGCCGGGAAGGAAAGTAAAAGACAGCTGTGTAAACGCCACGTTGCGGCCATGCAACGGAGGTGACATGCGGCGGCAGTTTCAGTCNCCCCCCCCCCCCCCCCCCCGCTAGCTTCTAGATGCTACGTGAATACTCCCCGTTATGATAATGTTTTATCGTGGGCCGGGTTTTGTGATCCGCATTATTATTGGACTGGACTATTCGCCCAATTTGCCTTTATTCCAATCGTTCTCCATTAAGGATTATAATCCTCAATTTTACCATTTGAACATTTTTTTTGCCCAAACTGGATTACTTTTTTGTTTTCCGTTTGAATTAGGGAGAAATAGGATCAGAATACTAAGGAGTACAACTCGTATAAAATTTTCATCATAGATACATTTTCATCACAAAAATGTATATCTATGCTAGATTCCTAATCCTTTTTATCACTGTTATATTTTACTAATAGTAAAATACTAACATTTTTTCCTACTACTAATAATTTTGGCACAGATATTTTTATAATATATTTGTAAAATTTAAGATTAGTCGCATCCTTTTTTGAACATTAATAACTCTATTAAAATGTAATATCAACTAACACATTTTCAACATATTAAAACATACTCAGAATTAGTTAACAGATAAAACATACGGAGTAACTGTTATTGTCCGAATTATAGTTTTAACATGTACTCCCTCCGTTTGCAAAAAGACTTTCTATTTTGACTTGGAGCAAAAATAAGGAAGTGTTAAATTATAGTTGACTTCCAATTTTGCCCCTGATATGATGGGTAAAAGTAAGATGTGATGGATAGATTATTAGAGAAAAAGTATGATGTGATAGGTAGGTTATGAAAAAGTAAGGGTAAAAGTGGTTTTTTAATAGAAAGTGGAAGTGTTTTGTTGGAAGTGAAAAAAATGAAAGAGGAAGTGTTTTTGAGAACGGAAGGAGTAATATTTTATTTGAGAGAATTACTTTGACGTCGTTAGAAGACAAGATCTTTCAAGATGTGTCACATCTTGATATAATATTAAAAAAAAATTCATGGATCCGTGTTAAAATATATTCCGTACTTCATCAAAAATATGAGTAATATTTTACGGACATCTTAACATTTTTAATAGATTGAATTTGATCATTTTTCATATATTTAGATGTATGAAATAAGTGTTCATATATCACCAATCTATGATAAAATAAAATTGGTCAAACATATTACTCTGCATTTCGTAAGCATGTCAAACAATTGCATCATATTCCAACTCAATAAATCTTAAACCTCGCAAATTAATTTTTAGATTTGTGACAAAATACCTATGGTGTGTTATAGGGAGTACAATAAATTATTCATCATACACATTCTTATACTCGATAAATTAAACATATTGCTTTTTGTCTATAGAAGTAGTAATTATATTCTAGTCAATTCCATAATTTTTTAAAAAATCATCTTAAATAGGAGTAAAACATAAAATACTCCCTCCGTTCCATAAAGTGTTACCCACTTTGACTAAAGTTGAAATTAAGGGATGAATAATTTTGTGTTGACTTTCCAAAAATATCCTTGATGAGATGGGTAAAAGTAGGATGTGATGTGTAGATTATTAGGAAAAAGGTATGATGTGATAGGTATGGTTTGAAAAAATAAGAGGTAAAAGTGGTTTTTTAATAGAAATGGGTAGGAGATTGTGGGACGCAATTTTTTTGAAACGTGTAAATCTTTTAGAGACGGATGGAGTAATTTTTATCCTCACAATAGGAGTTTCATACATAGTACTCCGTATTATTATATGATTGATAATTATTTAGAGAAGAGATAATATGAATAACTCAATTGTTCTTAAAAAAGCTTAGAACCAAGCCTAGATTAACCCGCAAAATAATTGACAGGTTTGGGCCTGAACCGGGCCTAGAGATAACACACCGGAGTATCATTTTGCATTATTCACAACATCATTTTGGACTGAGAAGTACTATCTTCGTCCTTGAGTATTTATCCAGTTTTAATTTTTTTTTAGTCAACAGTTTTCAACTTTTGAGGTCAATGTTTACCAATTTTGACCGAAAAACTCAAAAATGTACAAATACTCAGGGAGTATAAAGTTTGTTGTATAGTATGAAGCCAAGCCATGAACACTAATTAATCTTCCATGCTGATTATGCACCTCAGTCCTTCCCCTCTCAACATGTACTCAAATGCTTTGTTGATATCGGAGAACGGAACGCGGTGAGTTATAAACTTCTCCACCTCCAGTTTCTGCAAGAATTCAACAAAGTTCTATGATAACATAGCTGTCATTTGGTGATTTTCTTGTATCTTTGTTCTGCTTTTGTTTTCACTACTTTTGAAAAGCATCAAGAAAACAAAACCTGGTACTATTTATGATTATTAGTCATTACCTTGTCCATGTACATATCAACAACAGATGGAAGATCAGTCCTTGGTTTATAGTTACCAAAGAATGTTCCTTTAAGGGTCCGCTCGTTTAGCAAGTTCACGGGCTTGGTCATGAAGACATCATCCTTGTTAGGGACACCAACTAGGACAGCAACGCCCCATCCCTAAACACACAGATCAAGAAACCATCAAAACTCTCTAGTAGCTAACTATTGCATGTAAAGGAAGTTGCTTATAAAACTTACATCATGAACACATTCGAAAGCAGCGATCATAGCATCGATATTACCCGTGCACTCCACGCTCCTATCCACACCACCATTTGTCATTTCTGTGAGTACCTGTGGAGCAATGGAGGGCGGAACGGGTAATCCCCAAATTAGTATGTAGGGAGTAGAAGGCCTTTGTTCTTAATTTACAAAGGGTAATTAAGCTTATAAAGGAAGATGAAAAGTGTACCTGTTGAACTGGTTTATCATGCTCCTTGGGATTCACAAACTCATTCACCCCAAATTTCTTGGCTATGAATATGAAGAACACAAACAAATACAACTATACAAGGTTATGGTGCTTGATCTGGTCATTTCCAAAAAAACATTATTAGCATGTTGGGGAATTAGAATGTCTACCTTCCTCGAATCTTTTAGGATTAAAATCAACACCAATGATTCTCGATGCCCCAGCAATTCGTGCACCTTCTGCAGCCTATTCAGACAATAAGAAATTAAGAGCACGAGAAACTATTTTTTAAAAACTTTTTTTAAAAAAAAGATAATCAATTTTCTGTGGCATTGTTTCAAGGTTTAAGTGTTGTGACAAAGAGACAACGATGACGGGAACCTAATGTCCCACTTCCTCAATCATTTACACTATGTTTGGTTCAAAGAATTTAGAAGGAAAATAAAATAAAATGGGTTTCTCTCATTTTCCTCAGCAAACCGGGAGGAATTTAGTTTTCTCTTCTCTTAGTACATTTTCCTTCTCATTTTCTTTTTCTTTCACTTTTCTTTTCTTTTCCTCTCTAACCAAACATGAAAAACTGTTTTCCATCTCATTTTCTTTTCTTTTCCCTTTCAAGTTTCTTAAACCAAACATCGTGTTATAGTTTATAGTAAATGGTTAAAGCAACCATAGAATGCAAATGCTCCACATTTAACTTACAGCAAGGCCAACAGCTCCTAGACCAAATATGGCAATAGAAGATCCCTTTTTGGGCTTAGCCACATTCAGAGTTGCACCTAGTCCTGCACATTTGATATAAAAGAAATCACACACATGTTTGCGATAATCTTATACTAATTGGTAATGACGATTACGAAGGTGAATCATGTATGTCTATTATTACTACCTGTGGAGACTCCACAGCTTAGAATACAGACTTTGTCAAGTGGAGCTAGTGGATTGATCTTAGCAAGGCAGCCTGAATGCACAACTGTGTACTCGCTGAAAGTCGAGGTGCCTAAGAAATGGTTTATGGGTTTACCATCGATAGAAAACCTTGAGTTTCCATCACTCAGCATCACTCCTCTGTCCGTGTTTATCCTTAGCAGATCACACATGTTGCTTTCCTCGGATTTACAGTGCGCACATTCCCCGCATTCGCCAGTGAATACCGGAAGCACGTGGTCCCCAACCCGGAGGTCTTCCACCCCATCACCCACACTCTCCACTACTCTGGTTCCGATTTCAACACGCACAAATGAACACCAATTGAAGGTTTGAACTGAAACAGCTATTCTAACGCATACGAAAAGATTGATTAAATTGATTTTACCCTGCTGCTTCATGACCAAATATGCGAGGAAAGAGTGGCGTTTGTCCCTGAAAACCCCATAGTTTCAATCAATCCAATGTAATCTTCTATTCCAGAAATGGTATTTCATATGCTAATTCAATCCTAAATCGATTTCACATCGGCTACACATGAACCAAAATCATAGTTTTACACACGATTGTGGGTTACTTTCCTATGGCCAATTGGTTTCGGATTGGAATATCAGAATTCTAAATTCAGCCATGATACTCTGTATATTACACTACATAGTAGGAATTGGAAGGAGAGTGACCTTGGCTTCCCAGAAATAGAGGTCAGTGTGACAAAGGGAGGTGTACTTGATCTTGATCCTGACCTCCATGGCCTGTGGCGGCGCAACCTCCACCGTCTGAATCACCAGTGGCTTCCCCGCTTCCCATGCAATCGCCGCTGCCACCGCAAATAATCACCGCCGGGCGGGCGGCCCATCAATTCACATTCATTTTCATATCCACACCACAGCAGAAAAAGGTGCAATAAATAAATAAAAGAAGAGAATAAATAAAAGAAGAGGAAATCGCCGCACCGTTGCAAGAAAGGACAAGGCCAGCAGTCGAACTCACCATTGTTGCTGAAAACCCTTATTATTCGATTGCTTTCTGATATGTTCAGATCAATAACTGCGTATGAATACACAACCAGAACGCGATGGAGGAAGGCATAAATACTTCTTGGATCGCCCGGCTGTCAACGTACAAAATGAGAATTTGAAATGGAATTGAGAAAATTCAAAGTCATTAGGCCAACGGATTTAGAAAGAAGTCATGGGTCCAAATCGGAACCGTCGAACCATAGTTTCTAGAGTCCCGTCGCTGCACGGCGATACCTAACCCCATACACCATACGGGTGTACCGGCATGGTTTCCTTAATTCCTAGTTCATTTGTATTCATGTATTTTGATTCTAAAATTTGAAATGTTAAATTTAAAATGACAAAGGAAGTTGTATGAATTTTAAATTAAGCTTTGTGATGAATAAGAAGAATTTGATTTAAATTCAAATTTAAAATTTTTAAGTTTTTCAAACATGGAATTTGGGTCAAATTCGGATTTGAAATCCAAATCCATGTTCTCAAACATACCGTTAAATTATTTCACTTTTTCACATTTTCTAAAAAAATAATCTCACTTTCCACTATCGGAGGAAATAATCACACTTTTCCGCACCTGTGCGAGTTTTGAATCGCCGTTAAGAAGCTAACAACCACTTAACGAATTTTTTAAAAATGCATATTTTTCGCAAATAAATTAAAGGTGATATTATTGTAGACAAATTTACTTTTTTGTTTTTTTAATATTAAATTTACAATTTATGTTTTTAAAAATATAATAATACACTCTTGTTAGAGATTTGCCTCATTTTTTTTTGAAAAAAATAACGATTTACAAATTTTGTATTCTGTTCTAGAGAAATTACCAAAAATATAGTATTGGATTATCGAAAAATAATTAATAGTATCGCTCGAGAAAGAAATTGAATTGCAAAAAAGTCGTGGTGAGTTATAGAAATAATTAGTGACATTGGGGGGGGGATTGTGCCATATTCACATCTTTTGAATTATTATTTTGAGGAAAAATCGTACTGATTTACCGAAAAAAATCAAAAGTTTTGTAGTTGCCATTTAAGAAAATATAATAAGGGTAATAAATGATTATCGACAAACGTTTCGGAGTGTTGTCCATGAAAAAATTGCAATACAACAAAAAAGTGGGGAAAAAGATTAAAGTAGTAGTAAATTATTAGAAATATACCAAAATAGGATATCTATGTTTTTACTCCCAAAATAGAAGTTAAAAGGTATTTACATTACCAATCACGACTATGTACATTACGAAAAAGTAGAATAAAATGCATATGTACAATATCACATACCACAGTTTAGAGAATAAAAACATGGAACTCTTATTTTAGTACTTTCTCTATGTTTTATTTCTATTTAGGACAATTTCTTTAAAATGTAGTGAGTTATAAAAATAAAAGTTCCATTCTAGAGAAAAAGTTACTATGTCATTTTCACAACTAATGTAATGTTGTTTTGCAAAAAATATTTATATAGAATTATCGAAATATATTCACAAGTTGGTGCTACTCCGTGTAGAACATATACTCAGCGACTTGTGAGTCGTTTAACCTGATTGCCTGTCTAGAAGTCCATATCCAGCGACTCGTGGTCCTTTAGGTGTTGGTGCTAAAAAAATATTCAATAGATGAGAATTCATTTGCAAGTGAACAACCAATTATAATCAAAATGACTTGGTTGTCCATTTGAAGGGTAGTGTTAAGAAGTATTCATTGTTTCTTTTTAATTGTCGAGTTCCCTTTTCGAGCCTAATGTTTGAACAACAATATCTCTTGTAATATATTCCATCCGTCCCAAAAAGTCTTTCTTGTTTCATTTTTTGCGCATCCCATAAAACACTTCTACCGACATCTAAAATGCCTAAAATTTACAAAATTTCTTCTTTATTGTGGGTAGAAGTTATTTTGAAAGTTTTTTTGGCATTCAAGGCGGGATAGAAGTGTTTTATGGGATGCGCAAAAAATGAAACAGGAAAGACTTTTTGGGACGAAGGGAGTATTAATTAGCCAGAAATATTTAAAATAACAAATTAAAAATATTGTTCGATACCAATAATTTGATATAATTTTATATTTTAACTTATTGTATATTTTATATATAGTTAGTCAAACACTTGAAAAAAATCACCTAAATAAGAGTAAAACATAAAAAAAATTATTAAAAGAGGAGCTCAATGTTTTTATCTCCAAAATAGGAGTTTGCACTGTGAAAATGTGACATTGTATATGGACAGTTCACAATACTTTCTAGTGTTATATATTTGCGTGGTTGGCATTGTATTATTTTTATATGCATTTTAACTCCCGTTTTGAGAAGGAAAAAAAGAATAACATGAAACTCAAATTTTAGTATATTTTATATGTTTTCCTCTTACTTTTGTCTTTTTTTCTCTCAATGTTCGACACAAAGCGAATTAGACACTTGCCCTTTATTTGAGAGAGGGAAAATAAGAATAGAAAGAAAATAAAGGGTGAAAAATATAAGGGTGAGTGCATATAATGTGGTTGAGAAGGTGAAGGAAAAATGTGGAGGATGGAAAATAACTTTTATTTTCCTTCATTACTTTTCCTCCTAAAATGGGATGAAAGTTTAAAACTTTAAATTATTAAATTATTCTACATTTACCCTATTAATCAAAAAATAGAATAGATTTATTTTCCTTCTACTTTAATAGATCCAAACAAGAAGAGGGAAAATAATTTTTTCACCTTTGTTTCTTCCCTGACAATTATCCAAACAAGGGTTTACAAAGAAATGAAGAGAGCATCAACATTTAAAATTGAAACAAAAAATAGTAAGTATACAAATTTTTAATTTGAATTAAATAATTGAATATATTCAAATCTTTTAATATGGTTCAATAGAAGTACAATATAATTTAATCTGATAATCTCTATCCCATTCTATAATAACAATGTACTGTACTTAACTTTGCTCCTTATTTTACTTCATTTTTCAACGAAGAAAAATTAATTCTCTTTTATCATTATTTTTCTTTTTGTTCATATTTCCTAAAGATGGGCAAGTGGCAATCCAGGATTGGCTGAAAGTTGAAGAGAATTTACCTGCACTAAACTACCCACCTGCAACTACATTTACTACCGTGTTTTTTTAATTGTACGGGGGCCAGTCAGGCAGTGACGCGTACTCCCCTTTTTTAAATTTTTGACAATTTTTTTGGTATTGTTTATTTAAAAGGTTGCCACAGAATAGTAATTGGAAAAAACATACTCCCTCCGTCCCACAAAAAAGTTTCCATTTGGATGTATTTTTGGTCAAACAGTTACACGCTTTGACCATAAATTAAATATAATCTAAATAAAGAAATGTTAAAAAATTTGAGATATCAAAACTGGATCCTAAGATGAATCCAATTATATTAAATTTATTTTATAATTCAATATACCTTTCTCACAATCTGTAGTCAAAACGTGTAAATATTTGACTAAATACTATTCAAAATGGGAACTTTTTTGCGGGACGGAGGGAGTAGTATATGGAGTAATATGAAATTAAAGCATTGTAAAAACTTGTTCCGTACTAAATACTCCATCCGTCCCATAAAGATAGGGACATTTGGACTAAAGTAGTAAAATAAGAGAGATAATTTTGTGTTGATTTTTCAAATATACCCTTGATGTGATGGGTAAAAGTAGGATGTGATGTATAGACTATTAGGAAAAATGTATGATGTGATAATTAAGGTTTGAAAAAGTAAGAGGTGAAAGTGATTTTTTAATAGAAATGGTAATGACTTTTAGGAATACAATTTTTTGAAACGTGACGGGCTTTTTGGGACGGAGGGAGTAAAAGTTTATTATAGAAGTATAAAAATGCGTACAATATTTACAAAAAATGCCAACTAAGGCTCTATTCATTTGAGTTAGAAAACTTAACTTCCTATTTCCAACTTCTTCCAGTTTCTTCACTCTTTTAGTCTTTCCAGTTCTTTCCAACTTCTTTCAATTTTTTCCAACAACGACTTTAAAAATGTATTTATATATGACGAATATAAAAATTCTATTATATATCTAAATTTATAACATACGACATCAAACGCAAACAATGATGAATTCTTTTTTTCAAAATTAGAATTTTCTTATATATGTATTTGGTTAATTATTCAATTGAGTGACTTTTTAACTCTTAAATTCTTCGAATATTTTCCAATAACCCCGTCCAATATTTTCCAATATTTTCCAATTTCTTCCAACATCTATACCTGAAATTTCAATTCGAAAGAACAGTGCCTTAAAATGTTCACCCGAATTATTAGTACGTTATCATTTATTCATATATTGTGTTTGAGTTTGACTAAAAAAAATTGAAATGAAATCTATATAAATAAAAAATATAAAAATTATGTCAAAATAAGATGTTTATGTTTGTATATGAGTCTATTGTGTACTGACATTTCTTATTTTTTTTGATTTTTATCAGTTATATTTTCAATTTTGGGTTAAAAATATTGAAACATGAATTTCTCCAACATGTGTTTTTCTCCAACAAATTCAAACATGAAAAAGTTCAACGAGATGGATGGAGTAATTAATTTGTTTCTTTTTTTTCTCTAGAGACATAAATTCTACACAGTACGGACCTTATAGGTGTCACTATGTTATGAACTCCATCTATGTATCCCAAAAAAAAACTGAACATTTTCTTATGAAATTTAAAAATATATATATATATGTTGAATAGTATAGAAGTATTTTGTGAAAAGTACAAAGTTGATACTCCATATTTCCTAGAGTATATATCTAGTTTGTTTTTTTTGAGTAAAACTAAGTGAAATTTGCATTGAATAAGACTAAAACATAGGTCATTTTCTAATGTAGGACTTAAACTTTTTTATTCTCTAAATAGAACTTAATAATGACTAGTGAGAAGAATAATGTCCGAGTGATGTTGGACATTTATTAGTTGAATAATGACTAATAGATAAAGACCAATGGTCTTACATTGAGAAATAAAAACATAAGGTCTTATATTGAGAAAGTCATTATGTTTTAGTTCTATTTAGATAAATTACTCTAAAACTAAATGAACTTTAATTTAATCATCAATTATATCAAATTTACTTTGCATATATGTCAATATAATCAAATAAATTTCAAAAAAAATCACAAAGATAAATATAAAGAAATCTTTTTTTAATATGAAAAGCTCAACACAAATAAATTTTGGCTCTAAAATATCAAGGGCTAGTTTGGAAACAACATTTTCGATTAGCGTTAGTATTTTGGATAAAATTTTAACGGTACAGATCAACTTCGAAAAGGCTAACCCTAAAGTTGTTCATAAATAGTCTTTTCAAAACGCTAACGCTAATATCTAAGTAACGCTATTTCCAAACAAGTCCTATATTTATTGAGTATTTAACTTCAACTTACACAGTGGTATCAATTGTTTCACTGCCATGCAATTTAATGTGCTGCGGCATTGCGAGATGGTACATGTTGGGTGCTCTTATTGCTTCCTTTGAATTTTGAGTCTTGCCCTGTAGCTAGAAGCTACGCATGGACTCTCTTATTAAGACAATATAATAAGAAATCCTAACAACTAAAATATGAATTTCATATTTTTATTTTTAGACATCACGAAAATTAATGTTGCTTTTAAGTTACTTCCACCGATCGTATTTAATCTTTACATACATTTGACTTTTCTTGTTCAAAATTTATAAATTTTGATCTCGATAATAAAAAAAATCTATTCTGTTTTGGTATATGCGTGATATTAATAGTCAAAGTGATACGTTGGAGACGATAAAAAGTCAAATGAGAAGTTTAAATCCGGACAAAGGGAGTAAATAGAAAGGATCAACACCCTACACTAGCTCCTAGAGGAATTGAACAAGGAAGCTAATTAAGGAAACTCCACACAAAAGAAGAAGTTTAAGGGCAAGAAGAGGCTTTCACTCCCATAGGTTTATTTTGATCTTTTGAGACAAATAAAGAAGCAAAAGCTAAAGACACATTTACGAGATGTTTTTAAAACTACTTTGTCAAAACAAACCCTAAACACACCCTCTAATTAAGCTGGCAGCTGGAGCTAGTCTTGGAAGTCTTCAAAGCCATAACTTCTTCATTCAATGTTTCTACCTGTCTATGCACAGTAACAATTAAATTTCACCCATCTCATCATATTTCTGCCTCTATAAATATATAACACTCCTCAAAACCTCATTGTATCAAAGGTAAAAAAAGAAAGTAACCCAAGAATCTATATTGGACACCAAGGGCAAAAAAGGAGGAAAAAATGGCACATAACAAGTTGAGCATTGCTTTGTTTCTGGTGGCACTTGCAGTCTCAGCTGCAAGCGCCGCCAGACAAGCGCCATTCGACGACCAGAAGAACGTCGTCTCGTACGGCGGGGTCGGTGGCATGAGCGGAATCGGAAGAGGCGGGCTCCCCTTTGGCGGCATTGTCGGCGGCGGCGGCTTGGGCGGTGACCTCGGGGGAGGTGGCGGCCTCGGTGGCGGCGCTGGGCTCGGTGGAGGATTCGGTGGCGGTGCTGGGCTCGGTGGAGGAAGTGCCCTGCCGGGTTTTGGTGGCGGTGCTGGGCTTGGTGGAGGTCTCGGTGGCGGCGTTGGCGGTGGTGCCGGAGACCTCCCACTTCCGTGAAGAGGGCGGGCGCGCGCGTTTGAAGAATCAGTTGGTGGTGGTTTTAGTTAATTAATTACTGTATTTGGGTATAATTGTTTTGGTTTAGATGTGTGTGTGTGTGTGTGTTTGTTCGTTGAGTCATGTTTGGAAGGCGTTTAATTTGTTATGTCACATTAGTGGCTGTTTACTTGTTTCTGCACTTCGTTAATTCCATCATCAGTTGTTGTAGTTTAGCTATTATGGCTAGCTAGCTTGTTCAATTCCATTATCCATATGTGCATGGCGAGCCAAAATAACTTTAATTTTATCTTGCTTTGTTACATTTGTGCATGACTAATACTCTCTCTCTGTCGCCGAATAAATTAATCAAAGTTTACTTTTCATGCATTTTAATTTTAAAGATAAAATAAAAAGAATGTCTACTTTACATTCACTAATAATGGTGGTGGGTGAAAATGTTAAAAGAGGTGGGTAGAATGTAATAAATGAGGAGATGGGAAGTAATATAATTAACAACTGAAATAAGGAGAGAAATAAGGAGTAGTATTATTTTCGGACATTAGCTCCCTGTATAGACTTATAACTGAATGTGTCTAAGGTGCAAAGAAGGCCTAGGAAATTCTGGAAACTACTCATGAAAGAGATGAACAAGTCAAAATGGCTACGTATCAAACTCTAAGGATCGGACAAAATATGATGAGAATCTCCAAGATGAACAAGTCAAATGGCTCACCTTGTTGCAAAACGCTATATGCTCGATCAAGAATATGGTCCTGATGACTATTTTGGAACTTTCAGACTGGTTGTCTAACAGTAGATGATTCATGTCGTGCTTTCCTTGACAATGCATTACAGCTGACCACTCTTTCAATGGGAAGTCTCTATCGTCTTTCTACACAATGAGCTGACTCAACTTCATGCATGCATGACACAAGTCTCTTTAAGAAACATTGCTCTCAAGGCACTCTTATATTGTTATCATCATAATCATATGTTGATGATATTGTTATTAATGGGTCTTAATTCATGTTTTTATTCAAAGTATGCATCAAGAATTTCAGATGAAAAATCTATAGCTAGCTAGGTCCTCTCAAATAGTTTTTGGGCTTGGAGGTTGAGTACAGTTCTCATCATATCCCTTTTCATTAATTATCATATCCCTTTTCAGTAATTTTAGTATGCTCGTGAGCTTGTCTAAAGATCAGGGGTGGATACATGCACCACGACACCACGCCAATCCATTATATCTCATCTACTAATGGCGTCGTTGATACAATCCACGCCTATTCTGAAGTCTTCTTTGTGGTTTCAGTATTTGACGGTAATTATGCAACCAGATATTCAGTATGCCGTTAACTTTTTTGCTCTACAGATGCATAGCCCTACTAAATAAGATTTTCATATTGGGAAAATGATCTTTATATGATATTCGCTCTAGTGCAGGATATTTCATATATCTTGAGGATAATCTGGCCTCTTGGAGTACAGAAAAGCAAGTACGGGTCTCCAAATCTTCCACTAAACCCGAGTACAACGTCTTATTTGCTACAACATCAGAAGTTATGTGGCTGACTTACATCTTGATTGACCTACGTGCTACTACGCTGCCACCCTTTTTTTGTGATAATCAGTATGCTATCTATCTCACTAAAAATATAGTCTTTCACAAGCACATGAAACATGTTGTGTTACCGATTGTCACTTTGTTTCTGAACAACTTAGTTATGAATCTATGGCAATTGAACATGTTGCCTAAAAAGATATAGCTAGCCAAGTTTTTGACGAAAGTGGGTTCTATTAATAAAATGGATTCTGATGGTCTAATAAATTAGCTACTGGGACAACAAAGCTCTAGATTGAGCCTAGGTGGATGAGTTAAGTCGAGAAACTAACTAACACATTGAACGTATAAGGTGACAGCAAGACTGTGGATGGGATCGCACATAGCGTAATTGCTATTAAGGCAGTGAGAATATTATAAGCAAGAGTTTACGAGGCACTCAGAGAGATAGAATTCGAATCTTCTTCAATGAGGGTTTACAAGCATACTTATAGTAAAAACTAAGGTACATTGCCATGTGTGCTCATGCCTCGCCACGTCCTATAGCGTTTTCATTGCATCTTTAATTATCTCTTGTAATACATTCTGTGTTTGTCCCCTTTTGGCTTATAATGTTAAGGGGAATGTTTCCGATCAGATCTATTAGTGCATTGAACCCTAGTTTGACAAGGTCACCCGTGTCTAATCAGATCTGGCCTGTCATTAGTGATCAATTGCACTTGTAATTATCTAAAGTCTTAGACTTCTACCCGAGTGATCTCCCGTAGGTGAGCAGTCTATCCACGACTCAACAATTAACCCTACTGTGCTTCCTACGCGACCATGCTCTTCACACCCGAGTAGCTAGGTTTCGAGTGATAATGTCAAATATATGTAACATCTTCTGTAATATCTGTAAGACTGGGATTAAACCTTGGAGTTCAAATGTTGGGATTAAAATAGCACTTTCCACCATAAATATATACTCGTATAGGAGTTACCTATACATATATACTCTCGCCCCTCGGAGACTTCGCCCCTCTCATATCTCTCTCCGCCCACCGAAAAGAAATAACTCGTGTCAAGCAAAGAAAGCCTCCCCTGCATGCAAGCGGACACGTGACCCCCCTCCATCACCCCTATATATTCACACCTTTCTCGTTTCACTTTCCTCACAATTAAAACTTAAAAGTCCTTCGCTCATTCGATCAGTAGAGAATAATACCCAAAGAATAACTAAAAATGGCCTCCATGACTACGACCCAACAACAACAACAACCCGGCCGCAACGACCAGAAGCTCTCCTACCAGGTGGCCAAGACCGCCACCGCCGCCACCGTGGGCGGCTCCCTCATGGTCCTCTCCGGCGTCACCCTTGTGGCCACCATCATCGGCCTCGTCATCGCCACCCCATTGCTCCTCATCTTCAGCCCCGTCCTCATCCCCGCCGCACTCACCGCCTTCCTCATCCTTGCCGGGCTCGTCGCCTCCGTAGCCTTCCTCGCCACTTCCGCCTTCATCTTCTACTGGATGTACATGTAAACACAATGGATAAATATAAAGAACCCTTTCTTTTCTCTCTCTGAGAATATAATGCGCATGCCCTTTGATTCATTGATTAATTTGTAGGTACATGACGGGGAAGCACCCGGTGGGAGAAGACAAGATCAACTATGTGAAGGAGAAACTGGCGGTTGCGGCGCAGGGATTCAAGGAGAAGGCGGCGGAGCTCGGGAGCAAGGGGCAGCAGCAGATCAAGGGGACTGTGCAGGCGGCGGAAAGCACCTAAGAGGAGGAGTTTATGCTAGCTCCAACTGATAATAAACATATATGTGTGTGTGTGTGAAGCCAATTAAAAATGGCATAGTTATGTGTAGTAGAGAATTGGCCTGGCCATGCATTGGTGTTTGAGTTTGGGGTTCCATTATGTTTTGTGTATCGATCTTTGTTTCGTTTTCATTGGTGTGATGGTGCATGTAGTGGAGACCATCAATGTGAAGTGCCCCCATCGTATATCCATTTATGATTTATGTATGTACCAACCTTTATTTATCATATAAATATATGTGGCCAATTCTTCTTTTCTATATGCTCCTTTTTTTTTAAACAGTTTCGTTTTCATTTTTTCATTTTATGTGGATGTGCATTTTGGTGCCCAATACAACAACAATTTCCCTTTCAGCAGTGAGATCATTCACGCAAAGCGCGAAGGTCTACTAGAGGATTTCGTGCCAAGTCTTCTTAGGTCTACCACAATTCTTCCATTCACCATTTGATCAATTCTTACCAAATGCTCTATTAGTCTTCTTTCCACATACCTCTTCTCCTCTAGCTAGTCATGTCTATTCACCATTTGATCTACTCTTTTCACCAAATGCTCTATTGGTCTTCTCTTCACATGCATGCCCAAACCACTTAAGACAACTCCAATGTAACTTTTGCTCTCGTATATTCGTTCCTTATTTTATCCATATGTGTATGATCGTTCTTCCATCGAAGCATATATCTCCATTTCGACCACACTAATGAATCTTGTGTGGATGTTCTTTGCTGTCCAACTCTCTGTTTCATGTAATATTGCCGGTATAATCATAGTATGGCAAAAAATTTTCCTTAGTTTTAAAGGTATTTTTTATCATACATAAACTCCGATGCACTCCGCCAAGAAATATAAAAAATTGCAAGAAACACAAACTACTATGTAACAGAAAAAAGCGTACTGCTTAGTTTTTTGGAGGTCTAATGGGGTTGCAAAGAAGTGAAGGAGATCATTCCTTAGTTTTTTGGAGGTCTAATCCGGCATTGTATTGCCTTGAAAGGATTCATAATGAAAAATTTATCTTTATATTACTAAAACATAGTGAATTTCTCAATGTAGTTTCATATGTTTTAATTTTCTAATGTAGTACGGAGTATTATTGTTCAATTTCCATTGGACATTGTTCAAGTAAACATCAACTACCACTAGACATTATTCAAAGTAAATATCCACCGCCATACTAGATAGACAACATTGTTTTTGCTACTGAACATTGCTCAAACACTATTTAGAAAATAAAAAATTTTAGTCAATACATTGGAAAATAGTCAAAGTTTACAGACTTGGAACATGAAAAGTCAGATGAGAAAATCACTTTGAGACGAAGGGAGTATTATTTAGTACAAATTTGACCTCCTTACCTACATTAGCTTGAATAGCTAGCTATTTTCTTGAGTTAATAAGCAGAATAGCATTGAATAAAGAAAAATAGCATTGAATAATTAAGTACTCTCTCTGTCTCTAAAAATCCATCTCCTTACGTTTTTTTCATTTGTCCCAAAAAAAAATTCTCATTTCTATTAAAAAGTCACTTTTACATTTTGGAGTGTAAATATTTTTTCAATGTATGAATTACATTTTTGCTTCTTTTTTTTGAAAGGTTTCCTCATTTGTGTGCTCTTTTTCAAACATTTTCTAATCGTTAATAGTTTCTTCGATCTCCTATAAATAAAAATTCTTATTTTGTTGAGTCTAGGATGGTAGGAAACCAAATTAAGAAAAATTTTTATCTCATAACAATCACATAACATTAAAACCAAACCTCCTTTAGTTTATGCATTTTCCTAAAAGAAAATTGTATACATTACTCGAGGTTAATTTTCCTAATTAAAGTAATAGCACAACAGCATAAATCGAAGAAGAAAAGGAAATTAAATTAAATCCTTAATGGAATCAAAGAAGATGAAAAACTTACCTTCCAGCAGCAGTTGCAAGGTAAAGAAACAAAAATAATAATTACTGTAGCAATATAGAGTGTATATCGTCCGCTTCACAGCCTTTTCCCAGAGCCATCTCCCAGTTTTTACTTGGTTACAAATTTTACAGTATAAACATGGGTGGAGAAAAAGAGGCCACGTGTTCACGCACTTGGATTGCTAATTGAGTACTACCTCGTCCCAGAATATTTGTCCACTTTCATTTTTACACACCATCCAATGCACTTTTTAAATCCATTTTATCTTGTAATTTGTATATTAAAAAATTATAGAAATTATATTTTAATAATCTATATGTTAAGATAAATCAAACAAGATCACACATGACTATATTTAGGCTTACACATTGAGAGAATTTGATAGGTCAAAGTACTTAGATAAACTGTTCGAAAAGTCAAAAGTGGACAAAAACTCCGGGACGGAGGGAGTAATTGGGATAAATATGGCTATTGGGCGTGGTCCGATTCACCAGATTTCAATCCGGAAAGGCGGACTGTATTTATACACATCACACTAGGGATGTGTATTATTCGGTTCCGGTCTTCATTTCTTAATTTTTCTTTACTCGGTCTTTTTCCGGTCTGGTCCGATTCACCAAATTTTGATCCGGAATGGTGGACTGGTTTGATTTTATTTTTTTAAAATATTTTTTTCCGATATAGTTATATAATATAATCTTTGAAGTTTCATAGTCCGTATTAACTTTAAGACTAAGGTCCCGTTCCGTTCAACTTATTTTTTCTGCTTTTTTCTTAATCTTATTAAAATCAGATCAGATCGGATCAGATCATATCATATCAGTTCAGATCAGAACCAATCAGATCACATCAGATCAGATCAGAACCAATCAGATCAGATCAGATCAGATCTAATCAGATCAGATCAGATCCAATCAGATCAGATCTAATCAGATCAAACAGATCCAATCAGATCAGATCAGACTAGATCAGATCCAAATAAGAATTATTATTATTATTATTATTATTATTATTATTACTATTATTATTATTATTACTACTACTACTACTACTACTACTACTACTACTACTACTACTACTACTATCATTATCAATATCTTTATTACTCCTTACTTTTTAAATTCCATATTTTTTACTTGTTTCACTTGATACGGTTCTTTTAAAAAATAAATTTAATTCTATTTAAAAAATATAAGAAGAAAGAACATGAAACTTTTTGTGTGATTATAATTTATGTAGACTAAAATAAATGATATGAATCACAATTGTTTTCTTAAAAATGAAAAATAATAAACTTTAGAAACAAGCTAAATAGAAACCCGAGAAAGTAATCTTTAATTATTAATGAAAAATGTATTATTTCTTTGCTTAACATTGATCATATAAGGATGTAATATTTTAATAAAAATATTAATGATTATTAATAACATTGATTATCTATATTAAATAACATTTTAGTGCATATATAAATTAAATAATTATTCTAATGTTTATATAAACTAATTATTAAAATATTAAATCAATATTATTCATTAAAAAATCATAAAATAAAAATATTATTACATTATAATATGAATGATTATTCTAATATATGAGTTAATTAATTTTGTTTCATTAAAAAATAATCATAAAAAAATATTGATTATATTATAATATGAATTATCATTACAATTTTCAATCAAATCAGAACCGATCAGATCAGATCAGATCAGATCATAACCAATCAGATCAGATCAGATCCAATCAGATCAGATCAGATCCAATCAGATCAGATCAGATCCAATCAGGTCAGATCAGATCTAATCAGATCTAATCAGATCAGATCCAATCAGATCAGATCAGAACTTATTAAAATCAGATCAGATCAGAAAAAATAAGTTGAACGAAACGGAGCCTAAAAGCTACACGGAGTAGTTTTTTCCAAATGTTATGTTTTTATCTTCTAGTACAGTATAAGTTTTTAAAAATATTCTAATTGAAAATAAGATTAAAAAAATAAAGATATTTAAGTCTTTTCCGAGTCATAAGTTCATTTTAAATTTAGAGCGTTAATATATGCTTCTGAGTAATATTTCATTATCATGAATCAAAGTTACAAAAAATATTCGCTATTAAAAGTATTCTATTAAAGGTAAAAAAAAATTATAGTTTTAACCAAAATATAAGAGCTAATCAACAAATTTTTCTTATCTTTAACTAAAGAGAAAAAGACAAAAGTATGAGTAAAACATTGAAAATATACCAAAATAAGGCTTTCTGTTTTTATTTCCAAAATAGGAATTAAAATGCACTTATATTACCAAACATGATCATGCACAGTACCAAAAATATAGTAATGTACACATGTACATTGTCACATTAACACTGTGCGAAGTCCTATTTCGGAAACATAAAAAACATAAAAAACATAAAAATCATATTTCAATACTTTTATCAATGTTTTAGTCCTAATTACAGTGATTTCTATTAACTAAAAATGTCCCGTGCCACATGGCTCGAACTCGAACCCACATCTACAAGTTAAAGAATACTTGCAGTAATATATAGACATTCAATAATTTCATACTACTTCTGTTGCAATTTAAATCGTCTATTCAGTTTACAATGTATGTCTAATTTTATTTTCAAATCATTTTATATTAAAATGGTGTAAAATTTAAAAATAACAAATATATTTAAAAACTAGATCAAAAGATCTACAAAACTAGCCTTATCTATCTTCTATTGATCATATTTCCCACTCTTATTATAATTCAATTTACCTTTTCTTAGGTAACACGGGTAGACCTATAGATAGGATTCCTCTTTTTTACTTCTCCCGTTTTCTAAATCTCAAACAAGTCCTTATAATTAAACTGTGACACATTAATGTCAATGGTATTCATACCTTATCTATAGGATATTTTAGAGAATTCATAAGAATTTACGGCGTAAAAAACAAGAAAGCGGACTACATTGGGACGGAGGGAGTAATAAGAAGAGAGACAGAGCAATGGAACCTTCGTACGAAAAGCGTTCCCGGAAAGGGGACAGAGCTGTGTTCTTATGTTGTCAACACACAAATTAAACAAACCAGAGGAAGCAACAACAAAAAAAAAGGCCATCAACTGTCACAGTACTTGTGAAGAGAATGAGACTACTACATGTAAAGCCCTTCGGGGACTCCCTCTTTCTTCTTGAACATCACCTTGTCCTTTGCTTTCTTGAAATCGGCATGCGTTACCTGGCAAATTCCAAATTCAATGGTGTGTTTCTTTTCCATCATGGTCAGGGGTATAACGGTCAACAAGAAGATGAACAGTACTTACCTTCATGCGCCTTTCTCTTAAAGCAAGCAGTCCAGCTTCAGTACAAATGGCCTTGATATCTGCTCCGGAGAACTCGTCCTTGGTCATCACAAACTCTTCTAAGTTGACATCATCCGCCAGTGTCATCCTTGCTGTGTGTATCTAATGACAACAAAGAATAGCAACACTAAGAGTCCATTTCTGAAAGATGTAAAATGACTAAGAAAATCAACTCATTTTTTGGTGATTGGTTGAAAGTTTGGAAAATAGAACTAGTTTTTGTAACATGGTGAGTTTTGATCTATGAAGTAGAAGGGTGCAAAATGTATTTTGCAAGAAAAAAACGGAAACATTTTCCTCAAAACAAGGCTCATTTTCCGCTGACTTCGGAAATCATTTTCCCTCAACTCTTCTCTTTCTGGAAAAGCCACTAAAGAAACAAAAAACAGATGGATTATATGGGCTTGCACCATTTAGGTGAGGCAATGTGTGCTTTACCTGGAAAATCCTTCGCCTCGTTTTGATGTCTGGGAGAGGAAATTCAATCTTCCGGTCAATCCTACCTGGACGGAGCAGGGCAGGATCAAGGCTCTCAATCTTATTAGTGGCGAGGATAACCTTAACATCTCCCCTTGAATCAAAACCATCAAGCTGGTTAAGCAGTTCCAACATGGTGCGCTGAATCTCACGCTCACCCCCAGAGTGTGCGTCGTATCTTTTGGTACCAACCGCATCGATTTCATCAATGAAGACAATGGATGGTGATAGATCATCGGCAACCCTGAATAGTTCTCTCACCAATTTGGGACCATCTCCCAAGTACTTTTGTATCAGTTCACTTCCAACAACACGCAAGAAGGTGGCAGAAGTGGAATTAGCAACTGCCTGAGTATCATAGAGCATGAAATCCATTAGATTACTTTTTCCAACGGTCAAGCATAAATGGTTAAGACTTGGGAGTTTATTCTACTCTTTTCAAGTGGTGAACAAACATGTAAGCATTATACAAATTGAAAGCACTCAGGTCTCTAATGAAGAGAAGAACAATGCATAACAGACCTATCCAAACCAGCTAAATGGAGTAAATGCTGCAGAGGCAATTTATCTTATGTGCATTGATTCATCTTTCCACTTTACTTTTATTAAATTGCGTTCATCCAGTCAAAAAATCAATATTTCCAGCTTACATGTATCATTAAACCAATCAAACATCAAGTTGTAAGCAAACCTTAGCAAGCAATGTTTTTCCAGTGCCAGGCTCTCCGTAGAGAATGACTCCTTTAGGTGGTCTAATACCAATATCTTCATACAACTCGGGATGTGTTAATGGAAGCTCAACTGCTTCCTTGATCTCCTGAATTTGGGCATCGAGTCCACCTATGTCAGCATAAGATTCTAAAGGAGCCTTCTCAACCTTCATCACAGAAACCATGGGATCAACATCATCTTGAAGAAGACCAACAACAGAGAGAACCTGGAACAGCAGAAATATCATCAAAGTTATACCTCCTATTTCATTAACTTAAAGCAATAGCACCAAGCTCATCATATAAACAAATACCCCAAAAAGAAAAAGAAAGGATGGATATTGGAAAAACAATTTCAAAGAAATTAGAGTAATTGAATAACTCATGTTCTCTACTTCTGCCCTAGAAACTATTACTTTAGCTCAAATATTAGTAAAATTAATGCATAAATTAACAACGAATACAAGCTCTCGTATTTCTCAGTTGATCTAAGTTAGATTTTGTGCTGTCATTAATAAAGGATCAAGAGGACTCCATAAGATGAGTTAAGAGCCTCCAAGAGTTCCATTGGAATAACATAATTTTGCACCAAAGTACATGACACAGAAACATACAGCTAATGGTTATTTTGAAAAGATATAATCTCAGCATTACTTCTAAGAACTTCTATCAAGTAACACATGAATCACAACCTAAAAATCAATTTAAGCATTAACCATTCATGCCAACTTCAATGAAATCCCAACATACCAAAGATCTTCCAAAATATACAGTTTTCCCCAATAAACCCTAGGCTCAATAACTAAACAACCACAAACCAATCCAAATCAGCATGAAAGATTTACATATACTAATCATATGGATAGCTACCTTATTGTGCATCAAAATTGCACATCCAGGCTCGAGCTGATCTTTATCAACGAAGGACAAAATAGAGACATAGTATTCCGGCCCCACCGAAGAAGAAACTATGGCGTGGTTCTCATCAATCAACTCCTCCAGATTGCCGACGCTCATCGGTGACCCCCTGAGATCATCGACCTTGGATCGATCCTCCTCCGTCTTCTCCTCCTGGGGCTTCAGCCGCTCCTGATTAGCCACGAACTCTTCCTCCATCAACAGATAGTCCTTGATCCGTTCGAGCTTCAGGAGCCGAAGTTTACACTTCGTTAGCGGAGTCACGGCAGGAAGCCGAGCGGCAGCCTCGGGACCCTTCTGTTTTCGCTGCTTCCGTCCGACGCGAGCAGGCGGCGCCGCCGGCTCGAACTTCTTATCCTTCTTTTCGTCATTCTTACGATCTCCGGGGAGGTTCCGGTTCAGACCGCCGGGAGTTCCTTGACCCATGATTCCTCTTCTTGAGAAGACGATAGAGATTGCAGAGAGACGAGATCTGTATGGAAAAGCAAATAGCAGATCGAAAACTTGTTTGGGGAGTAGAATAGGAATTACTTCTCTTGGGACAAAAGAAAGGATTTTTATGGGCCCGGTAAAAAAGCCCAAACTGAATGTCCCAATTAAGCCCAAAAATAGCTCAAAAGCCCATATTTAAACCCCAAATTAAAGCTCTGATTTGTGTTTCTTCAACCTCGAGAATTTGCGAAGAAAATCAGAAAACCAGAGGAGAGAGAGAGAGAGAGAGAGATGGGGCAGAGAAAGTGTGGAATTTGCGAAGAAGCTCGGTTTAAATACAAATGCCCAATTTGTGTCATGCCCTAGTAAGCTTAATTTTATTTCTTTTGTATTTCTAGCAATAATTTTTGGAGAAAAAAATGAAAAAAAAACCACTTTATTTCAATTCTGGCAGCTGTTCGTTGGTATGTTTCAAGAAGCACAAAGGTTCATCATCCATGGAAGATTTCATCACATGAGATTTTAAATATGTCTTTCTTTAACTACTTTTCCTCTGATTTATAGTACCTTTTTTATACTGTACTATTTAATCAGTTACAGTTCTGCAGAAATTCCTTGTGAAAAGCCGATATCTTCTTCAGAGGGAAATTTGGGTAAGCTTTGCTTTAGATTTGTTTATTTTCAGTGGAATTTTTTTATTAATACTACAATAGATTTAGTTACTGCTTTTGGTTGTGTTCTTGGATGTATTGCTGCAATGTTGTTGTGTTATTTGGTGTGTCTGGTTTGCATTTGTGGGGTTACTTTGTTATTTTACGTAAACAAATTTGAACAAACTTCAAAAACAAATTTATTTATTTAAACAAGTGTTTTATTTTCGGCAGTGGGGCTAAAGCTAGAACTTTTTTACAATATTTTAGCTTTGGTTAAATAATAGACTATATAAAAATGGAACATTAAGCTTTCATTGTTTCTCACTTTCTGTGAAGCATTGCAAAGTAATTCCAGTAAATGCATCACGGGTCTAACTGGGTTGTTATTGTTGTTTCTTGTTGGTAAGTAAGGAAAAGAAAAGAAAATTGGAAGGAAAAGAAAATGAGAATAGAAAGCAAAGTAAGATGAAGAAAACAAATTCCCTTCCATTTTGGTGAGAAAAAGGAGAGAAACCCTTCTTTTCTTTCCAAATTCCATGAACCAAACATAGCATAGGAGTTACTTCCGTTAAACTCCCTTATGATTTTTATTTTTCTGTCAAAAAATGATATTATAAATAAGAATTATTTGTGTAAAAACACATCAAGGGGTCTTGGATAAAGCTTGTTGGGCAACATATCAATAAAATTAAATATTTCGTGTATAACAGCTTCCGTACCACCATTGCATGTTGGCAAACCAATGTGTGTCGACAAGCCAAGGGAGGAGCTAAATCAGTCACAGCTTGAGTCTATTGGTATGCATATCCAACGGACGTCTTCTCCTACAACCTTCTCTTCATTCGAAATGAGTTTGCGAAGTAAATTAAATGATCTTTTTTTTGTGATTATCTTTTGTTCATAAGCTTCATCAAGTGAAATATTTGAGGCATTAAGGAGCGAGGAGCTTCGGAAACTTATATGCAATATAGATTCTTCTCCTGAGGCTGAGAATGTAAGTTCTAAATACAATGTTGTTTAATTTATTTACCTTTTCTTCCTCTTTTTTTTACTTGTAAGTAAGGGTAAGTTCTGCATATATACTTACTCTCCTCAGGCGCTATTGTCTTGTGAGATTTTACTGAGTTTGTAGTGGTTGTATTAACTATATGAGAAATGTTCAACTAATAGGAACTTGAAAAAGCCATGAAGAAGGAAGAATTTTATGTACTCACTCAGAAGGTATTGGAAAAATGGCTCCAAATCGACTGCTTGTAAACTTTTTTTTGTGGTTTGGTTTTGCAGGAAGACACACAGTTAATTAACACTTGTTGAGTTATCAATTTGCAGATATTATCCATCATTAATCGTTGAGGAATGAGGATCATTTCTTAAGCATGTCCCGGATTGTAGACTAAGGTGCAAGACCAAAGCTGTTTATTTTTTTTGTTATTGTTCAAAAAATGAGTGTTGATTATATTAATGTGATAGCTCTTGTTTTAAGGAGCTTATATCCTTGATTGAGGAATAGTGTAGGCTAGACTCTCGTATATAATGGATGTTTCTCTGTGCTTAGAAGCTGATCGAAATTGTATGAATATACCCCCTATTGTTTCTCTTTTTCCTCCCCTCCTCCTTTCTCCTCTTTTTTTAATTTCCCCTTTCTTCTTGTTCTTCCCCATCTCCACCCCCTCCACCGGCGCGTGTGCCTATGTCCTTTGTCCCCATGTGTTTCTGGTCCGTTTCGGTGTTTGTCTCCTTGCGTCCCTTGCCGATTGCAAATCATTCGGCTCTTTTCTATCTTTGTGCACATCTAGATCCCCAAATTTTAGCGGCTATTTCATGTTTCAGACAACCAAATCCGTTAAAATCTTTAGATGTTTGTCGCAGATCTATAAGATGAATTTTCTTTAGAAAAATAACCTCAAAATCTAAAAATCTTTCAAAGTCTATAGATTACGGAGTATTTAATATCATTAGATTTTAACCGATGTTTTAAAATTTAAATTCAACACTTTCAGATTTTAAATGATGTTTTTAAAATCTAAATTCAATACCCCTAAATTTCACTAATTGACTTTTTAAAATATCAGTTGAATATCCACTAAAAAAATCTAAAAAAATCATATCTATATCAAAGAATATTTAAATTATAAACCACTTATAAATTAAAAATTGTTTGTCGGCAATAAGTCAATAAACATTGAGAAACACCCTCATAATATTGTGATAATCTTCATTTGGATATACAAGAACATTAAGTAATGCAGGACTATGTTCTTTTATATTGTTACTACGTATTTCTTTTCTATGAGGCCTCTTATCTACAGTTATTGATGCAACACAAACATGTAAAACAGAATATTTTCTGATTTCAGCATTAAAATTTGCCGATCTGTACATCGAGATCTGTTTGGATCTGCATTATCTATTCCATTCCATAAGCAGTTGTTTTCAAATGAGTGCCCCAGGATAATTCTTAAACTGGGATCAATACTTATAACAATAATAATCATAACCATAATCAACATCTGTTTACTAATTACACGTTAGTTGTGTTACATTACATCTGTGTAAAATATGACAGATGAGTCTCAATTGTGTTCCTCTTCTGCTTACACTACAAAAATTTAGTATGGGGAAAACGCCTTTGCGATCTTCGGGAAAAAATCATCCTGCAAAGACAAGAGAGTCATGATATCATACATAAACGCCAATTCAATGGCTCAAAGCTAATGGAAAGACGATGAATCAGGAGAAAAAAGTGGAGGAAGTTTTTACCATATTGATGGGTCGTTGGGTTATCAACGTCTTTGTTGCTTCCTGCAGGCTTGTTAATAGCGAGCGGTTCCACCATCTGAGAAAAAGTAAATAGTTAAAAAAAAATGAAGGGGGCATACGAGGTAATTTGGTTTTTTTTTTTGTCCAACTAATTTAAGACGATAGAAACTCACGGTTTGAGATGCGATCTGGGCGTGGTGAAGACCAAGAAAATGCTGGAAAGCCTCTGCAGAGGGGATTGGGAACGGCGTTTGGTTAGAGGAAGAGTTGTTCTGAGGGACGAGGGGGTTTAGCATGGGATCGGGCGTTTGGTTGGAGGCCTGCATTCTTGAGGGGTCCGGCATGGGGAAGGGGTGTGGAGGCATAGTGTATGGTGGGATGGGGAACCTCGGACCCAAAGGGGTTGCAGGGGAAGCGTTGGGGATGGGTGGGGTTGGGAGAACGGTTGGGAATGGGGAGACCGGAGGGTTCATCCCCATTCCCATCCCAAGACTCATTGCAGCAGCTGGCATGTACTGCTGGAACCCAGGGTACATCATTGGCATCATTCCACATCCATGGCTCATCGACATCATCTGCCAAAACAAAATCGTACTGCTGGTTCGCTCACACGATTCGGATTACTTGTTCGGAATTTTATTGTAATGACATGCAATTGTATACAAACTTGCAAAGCAATGAATACCTGGACTTGCAACTGCAGTGATTTCAAATACTCAATGGCTTCATCCAACATTGATGCTTTGTCCGACTGAAATCAAGGAGAAGATGGAGACTTATAAAACAACACGATTAGTGTGAAAAAACGATGAATCGATATACATTCGACTATGCAACCGAGGAAGAGAGGATTAATCAAAACCTTGTTACAACGGGGAATGAGTTCCTGGAGAGCTTTCATTTTCTCATTAATCCGATCTCGCCGTCTCTGCATCAATGCATAAAACATTCATTATTCAATTTTCATTCTACAACTGGGAATGAGTTCCTGCATCAATAAAATAGAGTTCCATTTGAGTGAGTGAGTGCATATATAGTGCATACCCTTTCTGAGAGATTATGAACCTCTGCAGCACGGGAGCGCTTGGTGGATCCGGAAGCACGGGATTGCTTCTTTCCATCAGCAGAAGCAGAATCTGCCTCCTGCATATATGTCAGCCATTCATTCATCAAAACATTTTTAAATTTTGACTATAATATATAGCAAAAATAATACCGAAATATATTACTAAAAAACACTATGAAATACGGCGTCAACACTCTTATAGTCTTAGTATGGGTTAAAAATACAGAATATATCACTCCATGTCCTAAAATTACATACTCTAAAATTAAAACTACATCAAAAAATTTAGAAAATAAGAGGTGACCTCCTTATGTTATTTTACCAAATTAGTTACAAAAAGAGATCTAAAAAATGATGAAATTTAACCATGTGATAATATACGAATAGTTTAATTTGGGACGGGAAGTATTTAGTATAAATAATACAGAGTAGATTTTTTCAATAAAAAAGAAAATATGAAAGTCCTTTTAGTATGGATAGAATATAGGAGTACATTTAGATGGTTCTTTTCATGCATTTCAAGAAGTTTCTTGACAAATTACATTATGAAATGTTTGAGAACTGAAATTTGAATTTCAGATCTAGATTTGACTCAACTTTCATATTTGGAGAAATATATAAAAAATTTGAATTTGAGGAAGATTCTCAATTCATTATATAGCTGAATTGCAAATCTATGTCTTCCTTTGTTTGTTATTTAAAATTCAAAAATTCAAATTTTAGAATTAAAATGAACGAATGAAAATTAAAACCATCTTATTTAATTTTCAAATATTTAAATTTAAAGTTTAAAATACTCCATAAAAGAGTACATTCTAAAGATTGATAATTTTAAGTTTAATCACTCTCGTAACTATATTAACATCCCTCTCACGCATGATTACCCCTAATTCGACAAAAAAAAAAATTCCATCCCATGACCATGGCGGGAAATGAAAATTTATCCCCATAAAGTTCTTTTTTTTAAAGGAAAATCTATCCCCCACACAGTTAAAAAGTTAGAAAGAGGCCAATGGTCGTACACGTCTGCAAAACCTTATACGATTAAAATAGAAATTACTGCGCCGTAAAAAAAACAACACGGGGCTTGCTGGCGCACGATAGCCAACCGCCGCACGACACACTATCGGGAACGGAAAGAGAGAAATTAGCAAAACTGCTTACCGCGTTATGGCCGTCCTCCTCCATATCTCTTCCTTTGCGCTTCCGGTCCTCCGCCGCCGGCGCTATGGACTTCTCCTCGCTGACGCTGGCCCCTGAGTTGCACGGAGATGTAGTCAACGTTAACTCACACGACGCCGTTCTCTTTCCTCCGGCGGCGGACATTCTAGCAGCTTCCATTCCGCATCCTACATTTCCGCCGGGAACCTGCGCCGCTCGATCTGCTACCCGCGAGACCCTGTATTCTCGCCCCACCATCGGAGTCTCATTAGACTCCACCACCGTCGAATCTCCCGACCGTCCAGGTCTAATCGCCGGCCGATGCGGATTTCCGAAGTTCTGGAAGCGCGACGCGCTCTCCGCGTCCGCGCGCCTCCCGGGAGGAATAGGCGGACGAGGAGCGGCGGACGAGGACTGAGGAACGAGCGGGTGGCGGATCTGATGAGACGCGGACGGGCGGATGTCCTGCTGCGGCGGGGGCGGCGGCGGTGCGGAAGTAGAATACAGGAGATCCGCGCCGAGATAACGGTCGATGGGGTACTCGACGAGAGGGCACTGAAGCCAAGCGGCCATCTCGTCCTCCTGCATGAACAGTTGGTGAGGCGGCGCAGGGATTTCCTCCACCGCCGATCTGACATCACCGGCGGCAGGGAGGGGAATCGCGGCGTCGCTGCCGCCGTACTGCGTAGGTTTCTTAACAGATCTCTGGTTTTGGGCGTGGACCACCACCACCTGGCCGTTCTGCCACAGTAACTCCATGATTTCCTCTTCCGCCCTGTAAAACCATACATATCATATCATATCATCACTCAATGCCTAACAATCAAAACCTCTAAGAACACGAATTAAGTCAAATCGAATCGAAATTAGAGCTAGTTCAGATCATACACTGCAGACTTCTTCGCATTTGCAGAAGAAGCATTTGGAAGAGGAGGAGGAGGAGAGGGGTAGTCCTCGTCGATTTCAAACTCAGGAACGCAGTGATTCATGCTTAACTTCTTCTTCTGGTCTTCGGAATGAAATGAATTTTCAAGCAGATTGAAGAAGGAAGGTAAGGTTCAATCAGAAGCCATGGAAGACAAGTTGAATAATAGAGATGAGAGGGGCTTAATTGGGATTGGGTCAGGGGCGGAAAATAAATTCGAACATAAAAGACGAAAATGATTTTGACGACAAGTATGCAATGTGTAATGTATTTTTATTATCAAAAGTTAAATAAATAAATAAAATAAAAAAACACATTTCCCTACAGGTTCAAATCACCAGCCTATCATCTCCACCAACTCTTAAATTTCCATTTCCAACTTGACACTACCCCCTCCTTCTTCATTCATTCATTCATTCATACCAATCATCATCATCATCATTCTCATCATCACTCTTATTATTCAATATTCATCTCCCTCCCCACACCCATCCCTCTCCAAGGCACTAATATTTACTAAATATAGAAAAATCTTCTTTTAAAGAAATGAGACTCATCCTTGAGTCCCTTTGCAGAATTGGCCGGAAAGTCACTTCAGAAGAGGTAAACTAAGATGTTATGATTGATGAAAATATGCAAACAAACATAAGTTATCGAGAAGCCGTAATAGTAACTAAGACGTTTATTGTTGGACGGAGGGAGCTGAGTATATTGTGAAGTCCGCACCTACTAATTATAGAGGCTCTTTATAGTATAGTTATCTTCTAGTCCACTTGTCAGAATTTGAACTCGAATTTACCTCATTGGCATCTCTTGCTCAACAAACTGAGTTACTCCAATCGGCATAGAAAAATCTTCTTTGGATGAATTGAAGGGCGATCATGTGTAGTATAAAATGTGTATGCTTGCTATGAATCTTGACATTTTTTTACATTAGGTTTTCCAGCTTGTATCGGACTCATTTTAAGCCTATAAGATTCCACCTCAAGAACCTTAGAAGAGAAAAATATAGACTCTTTCGTTTTTTGACCGGCTGTTTCTGTTAGCAGTTAAATTTTAAGTGTTTGGCAACTTTAACTGTTTATAGTTAGCTATTTGTAAATAAAATTACATAAAAGGACATCCCTCCATTTATGGTATATTTTATTTTACAATTTTTTAAATATCATATCATAAATATATTTTTTTAAAATTAAAAAAATTAAATAAAAAATTATATATATATATATATATATAGATTTTGGTTCTGGTGAGAATGAGATCTTAGGAGAGAAATGAGAATGAATCTGGGCCCTTGGATTAGCATCTTTTGCCAATCCTTGCATTTAAATCTGGATGGGCATTTTGGTATTTTTGCTTGGTCAAGACTTTCTCTTACCCATTCGGCTCCATTAGTTGCGTATAATCAGGGCATTAAATTCTCTTCTCCTCAATTCTCAATTCTTCTTTTTTCTCTCTTTTTTTTTTTTTAATTTTTCAGCAATAATATTTGGCATAAATCCTTTGATCTAGAGCAGTAGTTGCAATGAGGACAACGAATATATAGCGATAGTTCGGAGAACATCAGCACGAGGAAGATGATGAATAGTGAAGGTTCAGAAAACAACGGGATGTTGGAGGGTGATCTTGATGTCGATTCTAGTAGCAAATTTCAGAGGAAAATTATTTGATGTTTTCTAGATATGCTTTAATCTATCACAATAGATCTACTTTAGAGGAGATTTGTCAATTGGGAATTGAATCCAGTCGCGGCGGTGCAAGGCCACCCAACGGCAACAATCCTCTGGTGCGGGGGTGCTTAGGCCGCTAAGAGAAGGACTCAAGACTTAGGCTCGAGTAGCAACAACGATGATAGAGGAGTGGTGGCGATCATTCTGTAGTGCATTATGATGAATTTGTGTTGCATTCGTGTACCTTTATGAGTGCATTTTGTGAGAAATTATTGATTTTTAAATATTATTTTGATCATTGTTTATTTTTTGGAATTTATAAATTGTAAAATGTTTCTAAATGTTGATGCATTAACCAGAATCACGAAATGCATCGTGTCCTTGTGTTTTCATGAGAATATTTTGCATTATGAGCATTCCAATAATGCATTGTCACAAGAAATCAATGCATTCTCATAATCAAGGTAAATGATAATACATTTTCATTTTGTTAATGTGCATTTGCATAACTATAGTTGATGCATTTGATGTTGAAATTCGCCTAACACAAATATGATGCACTTGAATATTCTAGATAGTGAATTTGCACAAACGATTAAGCTTTAGAATATTGAATGATGCAAATTTTAAAGCATTAAAATGTGTATTTAATATTTCCAAGTGCAAGATGAGAGTCTTTTTTAAAATACTAATTATTGTCTATTACCTCAAATGATAGAGAA